AATTCACAATTTGTTCTTTAATGCATTTTTTATATTATTAACCATTCAAACAGATAGTCAGTTTTGACATAAAAAAAAAAAATCTGTTATTTAAGTTATACTCCAAAAGCACTATCTACTAGGAAATAGTATTTTCAAATGCTTTGAAAATGTAACAAGCATATATTCATATTCTTTTGCAATTGAAAATAAGAGATTTCATAAGATAATAATTTCACCCCTCTACTTCCAACTAAAAATGATAAATCAGAGGAAAGAGATGTGGCAAAAGGTGCTGGAATAGTGGCATCTTCTACATTTGTTTTGCTTTTTAAGATCAGTCATCTGGAAACTCATATGGACAAGATCTGTTCTTTCTCACAAGGTAAGATACTTCAAGGGCTTTGGAGAAAGAGGAGCTTGTTTTAGTCTGTTCTTCTCCAAGAGCCACCTCCAGGACTAGGATCAGTTCTCACTACTCTGCTTCCCGAGTGAGGACCCAATATTCACATAATGGACTTCTCTAACACAACAAAATTTACGAACATGAAAGCTCAAAAACCTGATGCTTTACTTGAAAGCTCTAATACTCCTGCAGAACCATGCAGCCTACACTCAAAACAATGTAAAGAAATAGTCCTGGAGACCTGCTGTCTTTGACAAAAACCCTCTGAGCTACAGAGAACAGCACTGAATCATGACTGCAGTGTTTTAAATGATGACTGCCTGATGTCCCACATTAGACTAGAGACTTAAGAAGAGGAAAAAAACCCAAACTCTTGCCTTTTTCAGTCATTCCCTTCTGCCATATCCAGAAGGTCACCGCACACAGCTGGGTCTGAAACCCTCACCTCTAACTCTGGAACATTCATCAGTCACGAACTTCAGAGTTACTTCAATTCATCAAGAGAGTGATTAACATAGTTCTCTCAAAACCAGTGTGTGACATGTCACTTGACACCCTTCAAAGGCAGAATGGCTCAGTTTTTCCTAAACTATTACTCAACTGGCAAATTTACCTCTTTTCCTGACAAAATACTGGTGTGCATTCTGACCATGTTGACAGACAATAAAGCAGTGGTTGATCCTGGTTGGTGCTATGAGATGCTGGTGTCAAAAGGAGTGTGGCAGAAGAACCCGTACTACTCTGTGTCCATTTAATTGATTTCTTAACACAGAACTATTTTAAAGCAAGTGTCAGAGATTGGAACAAGTAAATTTCTGGTAAGTGAAGACTGACAGGTGGGAACAACCTTGAGGAACTTCTAGTTATGAGATAATTCTGGATTTTTGCAAGGATACTCTGTGTGAGTAACTAAGAAAATCAGGAAAAAACATCCCAGGCAATAGCCAAGAAGCACTGAAGTTCTTCAATCAGAAGGAAACCAAGACATAGACAGTTAAAATGTCAAAATCTCAAAATAATCAAGTCAATGCTGAGATGAAAAACATAAAAGAAGTGTGAGAATAATAAGAAACCTAAAAGTAACTTGTGTTGCTACAGACGAAGAATCCGAGTTCTTCCTCTTTTTTTCAACAGAAGAGCAAAAAAAGCAAAAAAAATTAATAAAATAAATCAAACATCAAACTTTGAAACCTGGCTCAAAATTTGCCATGCCCATCACTGCTGACTCAAGGGCACCACACATCAATCTATATCATAAAAAATAGGCTAACAGTTCCCACAAAGTAAACAGTAGCTGTGTTTAGTTCTCGGGAGGCGGGGAGAAGGGAGGAAGGCAAAAAGACAAAAACAACTAAGGAAGAAAGAAGGAGCATGGCTATCTACTCCTCGCTTATGCTAAGCCAACCAGTTCATCTTAATTTGTGCATACTATTGCATCTCCCAACAGACACAGCTTTGCTCTGTTGTTCTGCAATTTAACTGAAAAACTGTCAGATCTCATAAAAAGAAGGTTGTGGAGGTTGTCAGAAGAAAACTAGAATGCATCACCTACACGATGCATGTGCTACTACATTTCAAGTATTTTCCTACATCTTCGGGAAAATGCAGAACAACTACAAGGAAAAACAGTCTTCATGGACAACTGATGTATGAATGATCTTTTGTATTTCATTACCTAGATTGTTAAATCCAGACAGCTCTTTACATTTTTCTTTCCATTTTCTCCTTCAAATCTTCCTTTACATTCTACTTTAACTTGCAGTCTCAGAACATTTGCTCTCTAGAAGAGCAAACAACATCTGACTCAAAACATGCTATTTTAATGAAAAAATACAGCATATAGAATAATCTTAGAGTACATGGAAATCAAAATTATATAAATCCATAAAAATACATATGGGAAAAGAAAACTTACACTTTGGTTAAGAGTACTTGTTCCTTTTGTAAATGTGATGTTATGGATCTACCCCGTTACTCATAGCGGTAGCATTTACCAGAGTAATGATCATCTAAGGATCAAGACTATAAATTGTTTAATTTATACCACTGAGTTTTTACAAGATAGTGTCGCACCTCCCTCTTGAAGTATGAATATCTTTAAAATCTGACATACCTTTGTATTGCCTAAAGTCTATTCCCATGCTCAAACATCAGTGGTAATAAACAGAATGACCTCTAATCAACAGAATTTGTTCTGCTCTTGGGATGCTACATAAATCAGTTACCAAAGACTTGCCAAAGTCTTACTAAGAGCTTGAAAGCTCTGCCTAGACAGAAGTAACAGATTAAATTTAGGACATTTTTAGATACCAGTGCCAAACCCAAATACTGCATAACCATGTAACGTTCACCCAAAACAGGTGTTTTTATTTCTGACATATAAAATTTGCTCCCAGACTCGAATCTTATTTTACACACAAGGTAAAATATCTCCCCATTTTTCCAATTATCATCAAATATTATGGATAAATCAAGGCCTTTCCAAATCAACTTGTATTACTTGCCCCACTCATCTGAGAAAATATCACATAATTTTTTCTCTCTGTACTGAAGATGCATTGTACCTGTTAGGAAGCTATTTGATAAATACCAGCTTCCAACCAACATGGATAAATGCCTCAAGTTTTCTCTTTTTTTTTTTCCCCCCTCTTTCTTTTTTCTTTTCCCTGCCCCCAACCAGCAACCCTTTGCCAATATTGACAGCTTACACAGCTACAGCCCCGTTCCTCTTATTGTGCTGTGCTACAGATCTATTTTTGGCTGTGTCTGTTTTCCAAACCAGTTTATGGCATGTCCGCATAGACATGCATATCAATGCAATGGGAGGACAAGAGGGGAGAAATGTCACCTAACTAAGGTCCGTGGAAAATGTTGGATCTGCATCCTGGTGTGCAAGAGGTGTCGCTCCCCCTTGACTGGGTGCAGAGGGAGCCCAGAGAGATTTGTTTCCCTGGGTTCACCTGAGCCAGAAGTGCCAGTTGCATCACGACTATGTAAACGGCAGAGCACTATGAGACCTCAACCACGGGAATAACCAGCCCAAGAATTATTTTGTGAATCTTTTGCCGCTTCCTGTGGATCCATTTTCATTAGCCGGTTATTTGCAGGGGAGCTGCTGAATTTACTTTCTTGTTGCTATTTACACCTGACAATATTGCAAGAAATTCTTCTGCTGACCTTGTATCTTTATATCTGGTATTGTTGACAACGTGACAGATTCCTTCTCTCCAAATACATCAATAATCTTTAAATAAGAGATGCACATTGCACAATTTTACCCCTTCACAAAGGAAAGGGTTTCGTTTTTAACATGCGAGGGTTAATATGGTACAATGATTTGAAAACTTGGTTATTGCTAGGTGTTCTCAGCAACATGAACAGTCAGAATACGCAGGTGAAAATTTCCCCATCTTTATATCTCTGAATGAATGTAAATGAATACAGAAACACGTTCAAGATACATAGAAAGCAGTTCCAGGAACAAGTGAAGTTGCAGCAGCCTTTTCAGAATAAGGGAAAGGCATAAAAGTAAAGACCATATATAAATATTAGAATATCTTTTAAGGAAGCTACGCTGGAGAAATTTAACCCAGTTGCTTAATTCTTCTAGAGTCAAACAATTTCACCCTGGCAACAGCACTTTCAGGATAAAGGGCAAATAATGTATAAGTACCATACAACTCATAGTACTTTAAACATGGTATTTACCACTAAAATAAAATATGCGGGTTTGTTCATTACTGAGAAACTAACATGTAAGTAAATTAATTTGAAAATGGAAGTATTTCAAATAGTAAAGAAAGGATTTTACTCTTTTGCTTTCTTACAAAAAGACTACTTAAAACTGAGTTTCAAACATTGCCTTGCAATTTCTAAAATATACTATTTTGGAAAGTGATCCAGCTACATTCCTACTGTTTGAATTCAATGTAATTAATTATCTTTTGAATTTTCATATGCATAAGCTTTTGGTACTTTTAAATTCTGAATTGCTTGATATTTTAAGTATTTTTAAAAAAATAAGTTTTCCAATATACACAAAATACCGTTGCCTTCGTACCAAGAAGCTATGCTATACCAACAAAAACAGATTACATTGGCAGCCTTCATAGAACAAAGTGACTGAAAAAAAATTATTTGAAACAGAGCTACTTGCAGAGGTTATTAAAATGGTGGGTTTTTTGTCTGAAGAGGTTGGGAAGAAAAGAAGACTTCACAGACACACACACACCCACACACCACCCCCTCTCCCCCTGATTTCAAATAGGGCAGGCAAAAAATACCTCTCTGATTTACCTAGGAAATAAATGAGTTACAGCTTCCTATGAAATCAGAACAGGAATATTTTTCTTGCAGTCTGTGTTTTCATTAATTCCACACTAACCTGCATTCTTTGGGTGGCAAATAAATAGAGGAAAAGCATTAGAAGTAGTATTTCCCATAGAAACAATTGCCTGTCAAACAAAGCATAAAAAGACAAAAGGCAGAAACACTGTTTCGGCTTGAATGCCTTAATGTCACCATTTGTCATGCAGCACTTCCTCAGAAACCCCCCCAAGTACAGTTAACTCTACTCCTCTTTACACCCCGCACTTTCTCCTCCCTCAGTAGAGGATTAAAATGTGCGGGGCCTGACAATGAAACAGCAGAGCCATCGCACATTGTTATGCAACTCACTGTCTGCAAGGGTGGCTCGTAGCTCCTTCTTTATTCAGCAAGTGCCAAGTGCATGTTTAATCAATGTCACAGCTCACCACAGTGTGCAACTAAAGCCACTGTCATTCCTCGCTTCAGATTTGCCTGGCTAAGTTATGCAATGCTCCGAAGAATACCTTGGAATTCTTTCCAGAGGCTCTGAATGCAGGTGTGTGACAGCGTTCACACTACTGCCAGTAAAGCAGACTTCTTTTCATCCTTTTTCAGGCTGGACTAAAATTACATAGCGTGACTGCACGCAGTTCGCTGCATTTGGAATTACAGCATGTCAACGTGAGAAAGTCTCCTCAGACGGCTGCCACAAAGAGTAAATCAAAGGCTGGGCTTTTCTGAAGTCTTAATAAATAACTAAGTGCAACTGAATAAAACCAGGAGCCGTTGGTATTTTTTTCTTTTTCTAGGGGCAAAACCAAACAGCGTGCATTTTGTTGCTCTGCATCATCTAAGGAAAAAAAAATCCTCAATTTTAATGAGAATTAGTCAACAGTGAGGATCATTACCAGAAAAGGTTTTACTGGTTTTCGACTGCACTTGCTTTAGTGGATTACCGAGAGAGAAGGCCAGTCATTTGGAAGATTCTGTAACATTATTATCCTCACTGATAAACTTCTTCATCAAGGAACTGTTCATGCTCCTATCTCTCCCGTCTGGTCTGTCTGAGTGAGGACAGCAGCCCCTCCATGAAGAAAAAAGCCTGGTTTGCCACCGAATCGACGAGTAAGAAGCATGTCTGATGACATTTTATTCCTGATGCAATGTAGGGTAAGAAACATCGTATTTTTTTTACCTTTCTGTGAGAGATGCTCTGAGCTGATGGCTTTAATTAGATTCACAGCAGAAATACGTTTATCTCCAATGATTAAAGATGTTTGCCAGGAGAGAAAAAGGCTATTGCACTATAAAATGTGACTGCAAATTTTCAGTAAATGGCGTTATCTGAACTAGTAGGCATCTAAATCAAATTTTGCTTTAAGGTTGGAAATTTCTGATTAATAAGTCTAAAACAGCATAGCAGAATACATATAAGCTCAACATCTCAGCCACCAATGAACATAATTTTACAGGGAATATGTTTCTAGAGGATATTTGACAGCAAATTAAGAGTGCAAGAGCAGCTAAGTAATAGAGGTGAGCTGTCAACCTTGCTTTTGCCACAAAAAAGGTAATAAATCATACACACATCTGTAAAAATCTCAAGTCCTTATATTGCATAGAATTTTGTTACTATAAAAAGTACTAATGTCCTTTGTCATAGTGCACTAATAGGCATATATAATAATAACAACAACCTTTATGTTTGAAGAGACAGACATCTTCTGTTAAACGTTTACTGTTGCATGCATGTCCAAAAGCTGATCTATTAAACACGTAAAAGGATAAGATCTCACCTGCAATCGCCTGCTTAGGGCTCACTGGTGAAGAGACTGCGCTACTGTATTAAAGGGGCATATTTTTCACGTTCGAGAACAGCAGACATGAATATTTTCAACTGTTTTAGTGCTGTAACAGTTAAATATTTAACAACAGCTGAAAATTCATATAATCTCCTGAGGCATTTCAGAGTATTTGACAATGCTCACATACCTGCTTTCATCAATTTGAGGTTTTGTAAGGAAACAAATTAGCTGACTGAAGACAAATTTTAAATTTCCTGTATAATAAAGTATGTTAATTGGCTTGAAGCATCAAGCTATTTTTCACTCCTACCAAATCTCTATCTACAGAACAATTACTTTTAACGTGGACATGCTCATACAAAAAGAAAACAAAAGATGAATATAACTCAATAAACAGAGCATTAAGAAATATTGTATAAAGAAGTACAGAATTGTTTTTAAAAATATGAAAGCTTGCATGTTTGTCAGACCAGGTTTACCATTTGCTTTCTTTCTTCTAGCTAGCTGCCAGAATACTGGTGAAGGTATTTGCAGGAAAAATGGGGACCTCTGCCATCACAACACTGGAAGATGTAAAAAGGCAAGAGGAGAAAGAGGAAAAGGAAGAATCTATTTTAGCACTGCTTGGGATTATTGGAACTGTACTCAATTTATTTGTTATTGTTTTTGTGTACATCTATACTACACTTTGATGACATTTTTGAACATCAATTGCATAGCACACAGTGCAAAGAACAGTGATAGTAAGAATGATTTCTAAATTTAAAGCAAAACCCCTCACTGTTGAAAGGATTATCAAAAATATTCCAGAGCAAAGTGTCTAGCTAAGGGTGCTGCATCAATGACTGCTAAATGTATGTGCGAGCCCAGCTAGTGTGCTGAATTACGTAAATGAAGGCAGACGATGCTCAACTTCTCATTGATAACAGATGAAATCCCAATAGCAGAAACAGAGATGGCACTGTTTTACTGCCAGCAAACATGCAAGGCACAAGAAATGTAAGGAAACGCTGAAAACAATCAGATCATAGAAAGAGATTAATTAAATATATAAATACATATAAGCAAGCCCCATGATGCTTTCTATGGTTTTGTGCAATGTCTCTTCATAGACGAGACCAGAAAACAGACAAAAGGGTTTTATTTTTAGATCACCATAATTTAGGCTTATAACTTACACTAATGTATAAGTGTGGAAACAGGAACACTGTTATACCAAAAATTGTAATATTATAAATAAAATTTTAACTATTGACTATATTCTGCAGCATTTTTGTTAGTCTTGTGGAAAGCTGAAAAAGGTTAGATTTTCTTGCCTTTACCGAATCTGTACTTGAAATCATCATGCTATACTGACAATGTGCTTTTCTAATTAAAAATCCTTTAAAATGGTGTGAAAAAGTAAACAATAGTTTCAGTACTTCTTTTAATAAATATTAATAACTAAAATGACAAACTAATACATATTCTCCAAATGAAAAAAATCTTAAAAAAAATTTTCTAGATCACCTTTTTTAAAGAGTGTTTAACATAAGTCAAATAAAACTTTCATGTTTTCATCCTGATGCTTATTTTCAAGTAAAATAAAATATATCATACAAGGATTCACGGTGTTGCATGGAAAACAGGTTTAATATCTTTGCCCAGAAGAGTGTACTCTCTCCTTCTGAAGACATTTTCCCTTTTTGTATCATTTATGATTGAGGCCCAGAATTGCAACTGTTAGGAATACTTCATGGACTATACAATTAGACTACTGAACTTGATTAAACTATTTCCATGTTTTAAATTAATCCTACGTATGTCCTTGAATTAAATCCAAAGCTGCAGACAGTCTGAGATCATAGAAACTTTTATATACATGAAGATATCTCACATATATCTTCTAATAGAAAAGCTACTTTTGAGATCTTAGGATTTAAAACAAAGTAGAAAAATAACACTAAAAAAAAAAACCCCACACTGATTTAAATAAAAACCAGTCTTAGTATTACGTGTGCCACAGAGGAACAATGGAGGAGTTGCATTTCTGAAAATCAGCTCAGTCCTTTCTCTGAGGCAGCAAAGCTACATGCAGTCCTTCCATAAAATGACAAGCAAAGAAATACATGTCATATATAGGTGATAGCTTATTGCTGTATAGAACTTCATAACTGCTACACCAACAAAGCCTTTGGAAATCACTTTGAAACAAGCACATGCATAAAATAAAGTCAAAGATCTCGAACAGAATGAATTTGGCAACGATATTTCAGTCAGTTGCAGAAACTACGCTGTAACACACTGATTTATGGATGAATGAGGTGGAAGATGGTATATTCTGGTTTTGCCACTCTGAGTCAATACTGGCTCATCCAGAGAAATGATAAACAGAGCTGAGGCTGCACTGGAAGGAAACGTGCAGACAAGAAAATTCATTCACTCTCTACAGTCTACAGCAAATCCCTATTATTGTATACTCATTTTCAGCATATGAAGCACCAAAGCATTCTGTAAAACTAAGCTACGTTCTAGAGAAATTATGCAAGTTATTGATGTATATTTAAGACTATAGAACAGAGTCAATACATTATTAAATTTTTCAATGTACTTCTTATATTACATACTTATGGATATTATTACATTAATCTCATAATACGAGGCTATTTGCAATGGTTCTTAAAAATTAGAGGTTACAAGAACCTCTGAACAAAAATATGAAATTCAGGTCAAAATTAATGCTGAAATTATTTAAAATTTGTCAATTCTGTGAAATAAATAAACAGTTTTATTTTATGTCATTTCAGTGCACAGCTGTGTTCTCAACTAGTACTCCAGCACTGGAGTGAGATACTGCACTATTTTTTGGTAAACATTTCAACATCAAAAGCGATAAAAAACAATCCCAAAGTTACAACAAAATATGGCAAAGGTTCAATATAATTCTGTTACCAATGAATGAATTCATTAACATTAATGAAAACTAGTGGAATTTGTAATTTGTTAATTATATACTGTTTATCTAAACTACTGTTGTACTTCTAATTTCGCTTACAGCAAACAGCTTTGACCCTTCAAAGGAAGTCACAGGGTAATATTATTATTAGACATTGCCCCAGCATGAGCCAGATTTTGTTTTAAAACAGAAGTCTGATATCTTCTCTTAACATGTAATACTTATGTGCTATACTCATGTGGACCTAAGTCTAACTTTAGTTAAATGAGCTCCAATATTCAGCTCTGGTGCTTATATGTTTAATCCAATATATGCGTAAGAATCTCAACAATAAAAAATATCTTAACAGCAAGTACCTCTTACTTGATACGGTAAAAAGTCAATAGTCTAGGGAAAAGCAGAATTTAATGGTGAATCAACATTTACACTGCAGTAGCACCTTCACATCTTCAGCAATGGATGAATGAAGATGCAGTACTCTCAGCTGAATGGCCCCGGTGTACCAACTTCAGAGACCCATAATGGACCACAAGCTTCCTGCTCAGCCTACTCAGTCCAGTGGAACGGGACCGCTTTGCAAAAACTAAAGCAACAGCATATAATGCCTCGAGAGCAAGTACAATTAACAGAAAAGAAATACTCTAACGTCAGCAGGCAATCTACCCCAGTTCAAGCTCTGAGGTAAAGTGACGAGGCCCAAAAAGTATGACTTTAATAGACTCAACTAACAAAATGAAGTAGAAAAAAGTAATTCCGTATGTTTACCTTCAACAGATTTGTCCATACAACTTACTAAATAAATTTCACAATAAGGTATTTGGCAGCCGGATAAAGCAGCACAACTGTTAATGAATCTAGAAGTCCCGGGTGCAACGGAACTTGGTAAACTATGAAAGGTGTATAAAAAGCAAATATCGAATTCTTACCAAGTGGAACGTGTGGGTCAGTAAACACAATCCTTTTAGGAAAGCCCTCACATAGAAATGCATCATCTCTTCTCAGCAGTCAAGCCCAAAGAAGACTGAGCTAATGTACCACCATGAGCTATGCTGACCAGATCACATGGAGACTTTGCCCACCAAAGAAGGAAGGGCGGCTAAGAGGGGAGCATGTGGAGAAAGTGCTGCAAGAAAACCCCAGCTAAAAATCACACCACCACCTGCTTCCTGTAAGCTTGAGAACTGAAGCAAAGAGAGTTCAGGTCAGGCAGAATTCTCCAACTCGCTATGAGGTCTGGCTTCCAAGGAAAAGGTGGTAGCACACCTCTGTCTCTCTTCAGCTTTAAACAAGATTAAGTCATCTTAAGGTTTTCTAGATACTAGTTTAGGGACAAACTAGTACAACTACATTTAAAAGCAAGAAGAGTCTACCTAATATTGTGGTATCACTGACAAATCCCAGTTTCACCAAGCTTTTTACTGTCCAAGCCCGTAACAAAATATACAGTCCTTGTCCGAGAAGTCACTTGATTTTCCTTCTATTTCATGATTCCTTTCCGCTGCCTTCTCTCTATAAACCTTGCTAGCTACAAAGACTACTATTACTACTGCTTGCTTCTCTCCTGCTGTAAATACTAGCTTGCATTAGTTTTGATAAACCTAGGTCCATCAGTCAAGTCACACTTACTTTTATCAGCAAAATCTAGACCTTCAAGCTACCCACGTGCTTTAGTTAGAACCTGACGGACACATGTTTGCTAGGAACCTCCTGTGGTGTGGCACAAATGTTACTGTTGAGCATTTTGTTCAAGGAGAGAAAAATTCACATATTTGAAAGAGTTCCTATAGTGGTAATTCTTTCAAACGAAACGCGCTGTATACAAGACAACAATGACAAGGTTTTACATGACAGATTTTGGTGTGAAAATTAATACACACTAGATGTTCCATGATACAGAAGTTAAGAATGACATGAATTCTATCAATGTAAACATGAATTAAGTACTTAAGAATAAACACAAGTGTTTTAAAAAAATAAATCTCACCATGTTACAAGACAAACTTTTTTTCATTTATAGATCATAAAAGATTATAGATTATAAAAGCCACAGTAATGCCACACCAAGATAAGAAACAGACACAGGAAAGAATGATCAAGAAACCAGGTGAGGATTATAGCAGCTATTGCTCCTTGTGACTACAGCTATCTATCTTGCATAATAAGGAAAGTCCTTCATAGACAGATAAACCTTCTTGCTTTACAAGAAAAAAGGCAATTATGGAAATTAATGAAAGTGGTCAGTTCACAATTTTCAAGGACTTCACACAATCATCTTGTTCTGATGCAGATGAAGCTGCAGAATGTGTCAGAGTAATCTATTTTGTAAAGATCTGCTTTAAGGTGAGGTTTCTAAAAGATTAAATGATACGTGAACACTCCTTATCTGATCAATATTCCATTTATGTAGAAAATCTAGATAACAATCTAGTCCGTGTATGTTTTGGGCAAAGTGAGCAGGGACGGCGAAACATATTTAAGCAACAAAATACCAAGGTAATTGTCTAACTGTGACAAAGGCCAATTTTATATTCCAACACTGGAACTGTTTGAGAATTTTGCCAAAACAACTTTGCAAACAGGATGTATCAATACCTGTAGCTAACTGAACATGTTTAAGCCAAATACAAAATTCTCAGCGATATCAAAAGATTCCATCTTGTAGCACCATAGTGGTATCAGCCTACTGTGCAATAAAGGCAAACAGCACACCCAGCAGCTTTGTTGCATATTATATTTCTTTATAGAACTTTCTTCCCCACATAATTTTATGCATATGGCAGATATGTAATATGCGAGGACCACTGTTGTTGCAACTGTTCACAGAAAAACCAAAAATGTAGTAGAGGAACACCTCCAGCATAAGGGCAGCCTCTAACTGGTACCACTAGCATCCATTCAAATCTGAGAAAGTTACAAGTTGCTGAAAATTGCTGTTTTCTGTCAGCGTTGTGCTGGGCACAGCTTGTACCTGCTGGAGAGCCCGAGCCCAGGAACGCTCTATTAGCATCCTGTATGCAGTGTCCTAATTTCTCAGTCTGGCATGTTACAGGAAGAATACAGTTACCTGCTTCTTCCACATGAAAGTACATTTTGATAGCAGAAGGTACACTGGCCTGAAAACTAAAAGACCATGTACATGAGTGCTACTAATAACGCTGTTCCCTTTCCTGCTTCCCCTGAGCAGGCATTCAGCCCTATGGGAGAAAGGAATTTTTCAGTCTTACAAGTATTGCAGCAGAGCTGAACACAGCTCCAGAGCTTCTCAAGCCCTTTCTCTCTTGTTACAGCTGGGCTCTGCCAGCTCTGTCTCCTGACACTCTGTTAGTGACACCTAGAGCCCAGCATCACCTGCAACTCAGACTCATTAATGTGAGAATTATCTGTCTGCTTTTGAACTAAAGAGTAATTACTGCATTGGAATTATGCCTGACTATCACTAAGGACAAACTATTTTCAGGGACTCCTGTCAAACTAAATGCAGCTGACTCAAATATTCATGAAGAGATGACATTCTTTCCAGAAGTCATGCCATTTTTCACATTTCCCTCTCATACTGATATACTGTTATGTTTTCAAAGACAACCTTGACTGACATAAGCCTGCAAATCCTTTTTTTTTTAATCCAGAAGAACATTGTTACTTATAGTTTTATGCATAGAATTTTGAAAAAATACAGCAGGAAGCATTAAAGACTATCTCTTGGATCAACATATTAACCTAACAACACTGCTATGTTCACAGCTACAGATCAATTTATGAAAAAGCAGGAAGCATCTGTTTTGTTCACTCTTTACGAATTTTTATTCACAAGCATAACACACGAACATCCCCTGCCAAGCAGTGGAAAACATACCTAAAATGAACGTTTCCCACTGAAACGTTGCCTTTTCTTTGTACTTTGGGAAAACAAATGGTCCCACTAGTTGCAACTTCCCTCCACCAGCCATATACGTCATCTCTTCTATCAGTATCTGACTGTTCTTCCCCAGTTAAAGGTGACTTATACAGATACGTTTTTCTACTGAAAACAGCAAAAAGCAATTTCAACAGCTGCAATTCATCTATAACTCTGAACCAACAGCTTCATCCTTTAGATGATATAGCATTTTTGCCAGATCTTTTAGTGACTTTTCCTTTCTACCTCAACAAAGAAGAATTTATGAGTATCTGTTAGAAAGATTACTTTATTGTTTTACTTTATCATTCACATTATTGTTTTATATTAGATTTTCATTTGCAATAATGAGCCTGGTGCATAAGCTACAGAGTTCATTTTCCTCACTGTAATATGAGCAAAACAGAACCCACAAATTCATTGCAAAATTAAGGGAGAGATGTCAAACTGTGGACTGGAAAGTTAAACACCTTCATATTTTTATTTTTATTCTAAGGCCCCAGCAGACTTTTTGAACTACTTTCATTTCATCATGCAAGATTATGTAATGCCCTAGTTACCACAGATTAAAAGAGTCACATTCTTGTTTTAGTCCTATGTAACTTTGTAAATACTTAAGACACACATGATTTCTCTTTTACCCCAGAGATAAAACATACTGTGTAATTCAACCAGAAGCTACGACATTGTTTCAAGAAACTCACATCACCACACCCTACAACTGGCATTCAAAAGAACTACAGTACAAGACAAGACGTTTAGCAGTTACTCCAAAAACAGGGCAAGCAAAATAAGGGTTGTCTGAAGAAAAAATGCTTATCAATAACTTCATACTTAAGCCTGTCATCTAATGAAGCTGAACGTAAATCACAAACTCCGTCTGATGGATTTGCCATTAGTTCCACACAGGCATTTGCTTAACTCATACTGCTTGACACAACCTTGTACAACTGAAATGGTTTTCACAGCAAGGTTTTAAAATTATGAGTAGAAATGTGATGACAACATATAACAAACTTGGTTTTCCTTTAAAAAAAACCCCACAGCTATTTCACTGTCCCCATATATTTGAGAAATTTTGCAATTTTGTAACAGGCTTGTTTCTATATTTCCTAAATAAAGCTGAAAAAGCTCTGCTCAAAGTAAAAGAGAACTGCCCTAGTACATGCAACATTTACCAATTTCATGCATATACCTGCTCAATTTTCTCACAAAAATAACGTTTCTCTTCACAGTAAGATTCATGGTCTTGTATAAAGTACTCTCTCTGTCCACATATCTTCTACAGAACAAGTAAAATATCAACTATACAGATGGAAAGACTATTGTCCTTTTAATTTCAACAGTTTAAGAATTAAATTTCAAATTTAAAACAAACATTAAAACAACAAAGTTTAAA